GAGTCACCTACTGATGCAGTCACGTTGCCAGATTCCCAGTCCTCCACTGGCTGAAAATAAAATCAAGTCAGTCTCGAATAAAACTCATACTCATATGTGAATGGTTCAGCTGAGAACAACAAAAGTCACTTACAATCCAGGCCAGAGCAGGACTGAGGTCTAGAAGGAACAGCAGTAGAAGTGGCAGCATTGTGTCTCAGGTTATCGCACAAGTGTCTGGACAGAGACCCGATCACAGGGATTTTGAGGACACCTCTTATCAGATCATCACACACAGCTGCTCTTTTCTCTGGCTCTTCTTCAAAATAAATACAATTATACATTGTATAAAAAAAAACACCAGATGAGATCCTTGTTTGCGCTCAAATCTCACTGGCAATCAACAGCTTCAGATCAGACCTGGATGAGAAAAGTATCAGGTGCATTAAACTTCTGCAGCAAACAAAGCCAGCAGTATATCCTGTTATGTGACTGTTTAATATATGAGGAAGTTATACAGTGAAACCTCGAGATATGAGCATAATCCGTTCCAGGACCGAGCTCATAACTCGAGGTAGACGTATCTCAAATCATTTTTCCCATAAGAAATAACAGAAAAAAAATGAATCTGTTATGGCCCTCTAAAAAACTCCCTTGTTAGTGCTTATAAAAATGTAAAAAACATGTTTTTAATGCTATAGAGACATACACACAAAAAATATAGTATATAAGGATTCCTGTGATATAAAATAAAATGTGGTTTTAATTATGAGTTCTTACCTTCAAGACAGACGATACAGTAGAGGCTAATGGTGGCATGTGCGGTGGAGAAGAAGTTGAGGGAGGAAGGGAGGGAAGAGAGTTGGCCCGTATGTAGACACTTGATTCTATAGCGTACCTTACATGTACACTGCGTAACTTACTGTATTTTCCGCACTATAAGGCGCACTTAAAAGCCTTTAATTTTCTCAAAAGTCGACAGTGCGGCTTATAACTCGCCGCGCCTTATGTATTACTTCTGGCTGTGCTTACTGACCTCGAACTGGTTTTATAAAGCCAAACCACACAGCGCATCACATGATGACACACAACAGAAGCACACTGAGAGCCAACAATGACATTTAACTCTGTTATCACAATTAGAAGATGCTTAACAACAATTATTACAGAATGGTTGTGTAACCCAAATCTGCGCAATGTCGCGTCGTGCCTCCAAACACCCGGAGTCTCTACGTTGTGTTTTTGTATTGACGATATATGGTGCGATGCAGGACGACTCAGGCGTATGGCTGTCGATTTTTTCGTGGTCAAGAACTCTTTTTACTTCTCCTTTTTTATCGATACTGGTAAAACACACTCTCTCTGCAAAACAACATTCACATTTCCGCAAAGACACAGCGTCAAAACAACAATACGGTGACCATCCAGAACAAAAATAGTGACAACCAGATGACTCTGGAGGGGCGAACAACAACAACAGCGCCCTCCTGTGTCAAACTTAGGTCACTACCATTTCCCACAAATCTTCGTCCCTACATATCTGCGACACCATGCGCGCCCATCTCATCGATATTGTCAAAACCCAAGTGAAGCAAACTAATTCGTGGCTTGACATCATTCTGGGTGGATTAACCACAGAATTCCAACTGCTAAATATTGGTGTTAACAGGACATTTAAGTTAAATTGCGAGCTGCGTAGGGGCATTGGATGACAGAAGGCGAACACGCATTCACCAAGACAGATCAAGCAAAAGAGCTGCTAAAATGTACCATCTGGGAATTCTATATTCCCTAAATTATCAGAAATCCTTTTTGAAGAGACACAACCCATGTTCTCTTTTATTTGGTATAATGCTTTTGGCAAGTTGTGAAAAACAATGACACTGACTCGTTATTTAAATGCTTCAGTTTGATTTTATTCAGAAAATGGGACAAGACTACTTCACAGAACTACAGAAACAAAGAAGATCGGTCGTATGAATCACAACACGGTCGACCACTAAAAAGAAGGAATCACTTTTCATTGAACCTCACATTGTAGGACACATAGTAGCCATTGTTGTACATGTAGAGCTTCTGATCAGTTGGGTTGTAGTCCAGGCTGCTGTACTTCTCCTGGAACTTCTGGAACCGAATGTTGAGGTTTTTCTCCTCCTTTGTCCTGGTGTCATAGGCATAAAAGATTTCCTCTGTGGTCAGATCCACAGACCTGGTGGCGTACATGACTCCACAGGCCATGAAAGCATTGCCAGTCTGCTGCTTGTAGGCGTTTGTTTTCCACTCATCAGCAATACCAAAGGACTTCTCATCTACCTTGGCAAGAATAATTTTACCCATGCTCTCCTCTGAGGCATACATTACCCATAGGCCCTGCTCATCGCCTGCAAAGTCAATGTTCTGATTGTCAGAGTAACTGTATGAGAAACTTGCACTAGCAGCTGGGATCACTCTGTAGTCATATTGGGTACTGGTCAAATTTAGCTTAGTCATACTGAAAGGTGAGTTGCGCTGGAAATACACAGCATGATTGCGAACAACATAACTGTTACCGGCACCTATCCATGAATGTGGAAGGTTAATACGTTTAAATTGAGTTCTGAGAAGCAAATTTTTGTAGTCAGAATAAAAGTAGAAGTCATACACATTTGGAGTTGTGTGAGCACCGTAGAAGTACATGGACTCATAACCTCTTAGAGGTTTGGAGTCCTTTCCCCAGCCCCCAAAAACATAACCTGAACTCAGGTGAGCATTGAGTTGGGCCACCATTGGTTTGCTGATGCTCAGGATTCCACTGTGATTACAGTTGCCTGGATTGAGAAAAGTGAAGTAAATATGATGAGAAATGTACATTTATCATTTATCATGTATCTCTGATGTGTTGCCTTACCAATATCTGGCTTGATGTTTCCCTGGTCATTCTGGCAGTCCTCCAGCTTCTTCTGCAGCTTAGCAAACTCAATGCGGATCACTTCAAGGTTCTTCTTGTCATAGGTCTCCAGTTGGTTCACGATGAGCGTCATGTTTTGAATCTTTTAAAAAGAAACACACTTGAATTACCATGAAAGCTAATAATTAGACAAGAAAAGTCACAAGTATGTGTTCAAACATGTCTGTTTACCTCAGTATACAAACTGTCAAACATGGGTGAGGATGAGTTGAGAGAGTCTTTGAGCTGAGTCACCAGAGCCTCAAATTCTCTGAGCTCAATCCTGAGCAGCTCAAAGTCCAGTTTGATGTAGTCGGCAGCAGTGGTATCCCAAACAACACCATTATGATGATGATGATGATGTTTTTTTAGTCATCATTCTGATATTTATATCTACTGTACCTTTTTCTTCTGGACTTCCACTTCCACCTTCAGTTCATTGTTGACTTCTTGCATGTGCTCCAACCGATCAGCAGGGAACATGGTGTCAGGCAGATAGACATGACAAACGCATTGACCTGAGTCACCTACTGATGCAGTCACGTTGCCAGATTCCCAGTCCTCCACTGGCTGAAAATCAAGTCAGTCTTGAATAAAACTCATACTCATATGTGAATGGTTCAGCTGAGAACAACAAAAGTCACTTACAATCCAGGCCAGAGCAGGACTGAGGTCTAGAAGGAACAGCAGTAGAAGTGGCAGCATTGTGTCTCAGGTTATCGCACAAGTGTCTGGACAGAGACCCGATCACAGGGATTTTAAAGACATTTCTTATCAGATCATCACACACAGCTGCTCTTTTCTCATAGCTGTAGTTCAAGATCAACACAATTGGACATATTTGTTCATGACACAGGATGACATCCTTGTTTGCGCTCAATCCCACTGGCAATCAACAGCTTCAGGCCAGACCTGGATGATGGTGAATGAGAAACGTTCCAGCTGTGTTTAAACACTGTAGAACTTAAACCAGGAATAAATCCTGTTATGAAACTGTTGTACATATGTCCAGGGATACATTTATGTTTCATATAAATATACACTTAGAGTAGTTTAGGAACATTTGCAATGCACTAAATTTTTTTTGAGTTGGTTGTTTTTAATTATTTGTCACTCTCCAAATCTGTTTAAATTAATAAATAATTAATTGAGTATTTTCACTATCTAACTTCTTATGTCCAGCATGATAGCATAATGTTTTTAATGCCAGATATCTGCAGGTTTCAAAGATCAGCCATCGTCAATTTCTGCTCTTTGGTTCTTGTTTCCATTTGTGGTCTTTGTGCAATAGCTTATTAATATATACATATTGCATTTTATTGTATATATAGAGTACAGAAATATAAACAAAATGAAATGTACTGCAATTAACCCCATTTGATCATGTGTCCTATGATTTCTAACCACAGTCTCAAATTATTCTATAAAACATAAATATAAAAGAAAATCGATTTCCTACTTTCCTTATGTTGAGAAACATTTTTAAAAAACATTTTATATAGTGACTCACTTCTGAGCCACAACCCAACCTCTTTACTGATGTGAAAAGAATGGTGGATACTTTACTTTTTTACTCTTTTCTTTGTTTTGCACATACATTTCTTATTCCTTAAGTTGTTACCAGTTACCAACATGCTAGTCAAGGACTCTCTTCGCAGTCCTGTATGGCCCTTTCATTCTTAATTTGGCATTAATAACACCAGGTAGTGGTGACCTGGTGTTGAAGGAAGCAGACCTTTGTCCAAAAGTTGCAAATTTGAAGCCATGGTGGTGTGCTGTGGATCAGTGAAGTTTCAGGCCACTGATGTTACTTTTTGATATAAACTAGTCACAGTTCAGTTGTCATTGATTAATTGTATAGCCCTAACTAATAATAATTTGATAATAATTAATCACAATAAAAATCAATAGTGTTCTGTATGTAATCTACCTTACATACAGACAACTTAATTGATTATCATTGTTGGTATTGTAAGCAGGCTTAATACCCACTACACTAACATGTATCCATCCACCCTAAAATTATATTTCATCCCAATTTGATTCCATCTAAACAGTTAGAAGTCAAGGAGTGATCCAATGGTTTATAGGTATTTCATTTGAACAAGTTTGGTTTCAATGCACGTCTTTTCTTTGTTAAAAGCCAGTGACTAATATTCTGTAACAGGGATCAAACTGGCACTGCTTTAAACAGACGCTTTACTAGAGTAATAACAACAAATGTTTCTGTTTCCCCCCTGTTTAATGGAATTCATCTGTTTTAAATTCATACTATGTCTGTCATGTTTACTTAGCAACATTATGCTAATTAAAGGTGTTTCAAGTTTTATGCTCATGTTTTTATATTGAAAATCAGGTCATTGTCAGCATAACTAGCAAAAGTATACCTTTGAAGCAATATATTGTCAAGAGTATTTGTAAAAAGAGACTGGTGACACTTTTGTAATGCTCAAGATTATTTATTCATAGAGAGTAAGAGTCAGAAAGATTATACAATAGATTGATAGACAGGGAGAAATACAATCATTTATTTTTTTGTTAGGAGAGTAATTAGGAATTATTATCAATCAAAGACTTGGCGCCAGGCTCAGCCAGCGGTGGTGCCACGGTGGCGCCAGGCTCAGCCAGCGGTGGTGCCGCGGTGGCTTCAGTTGTGTGGTTAAACCACAGATGATAGTTAACATAGTAGCCATTATTAAACATGTAGAGCTTTTGGTCAGTGGGATTGTAGTCCAGAGAAGAGTACTTATCCTGAAACTTTTCAAAGGGCACATGGATATAGCTCTCCTCTTTAGTCCTAGTGTCGTACTTGTAAAAAATTGCTTCAGTTTGGATATCAAGTGACCTGACTGCATACATAACCCCGCACACCATAAACGTGTTGCTCACCCCTGGTTTGTAAATGCTAGTCTGCCATTCCTCCTCAATCCCAAAAGAAGCTTCATTTATCTTTGCAATGACTATTCTACCTCCAGATTCCACTGTACCATAGGTCACCCACAGACCAGTCTCATCACCAGCAAAGTCAAAGACCTGATTGGAATAGAAAGAATAGGAGAAGCTGCTGCTTGCTTTTGGAATCACTCTGGACACATATGTCATGTCAGTGAGATTCAGTTTGGCCACTCCAAATGGACTGTTCATCTGGTAGTACAAGGTGTTGTCTCGTATAATATAGTTGTTTCCTAAACCTGTCGAGCCACTTTTCAAGCTATGATGCTGGAAGTGTTTTCTAAGAATCAGATTCTTATAGTTGGTGAACATGTAAATGTCATAAAGGGCGCCACTGGTATACCCTGAGTACCAGTACATCGACTCTCTTTCTGGAATAGGCTTTGAATCTTTCCCCCAGCCTCCATAGATGTACGTACTGTGAAGATGGTGGTTGAGCTGGGCCACAATGGGTTTGCTAACCTTGATGATACCAGTGTGAGCACAAGACCCTGCAGAGAAAAAGGAAGAACAATGGGCTCAACAGTTCTAGGGACTGTGCAATAAAATAACATGCCACTGTCATGCTAATCGGCTTACCAATGTTGGGGTTGAAAATTTCCTGGTGGCGTCTTTCGCATTCCTCCAACTCCAGCTGCACTTTGATGTATTCTCGACGCGTCTCAAGAACCAGATTCTTATCATAGGTTTGTTCCAGTCTCGTCAGGGTCACCTCTATTGATGTGATCTGACAGACAACAATAGTTTCAAGACATTTTCTGTTGATAATCGATTCATGACATGCTCTGTACTTACTTCTACGTGTAGTGACTCGAAGAGAGTGATGGAGCCATTGATAGAAAGCTGCAGCTCTTTAATCAGAGCTTCCACTTGTTTAATTTCGACCTTCACCTCTTCAAACTCGGCGGAACTGTAGTCATCAGGGTTCTTCTCCATTGTCACAATTACCGCTGTCAAACTTACAATTTTTTCAGCATAAGACGTGATCTTGATCTCATAATCTTCTACCTGAAATTAAAAAGAAAAGGGGGAGGGCATTTTTAGTTTTTTAGCAACTAATAGGTCTACATTTGCAGCACATATTATGGTAGAATACCTTTCCCATTTCCTGTTGCAGTTTGTGCGATATCTCCTCCATCCACTGCTCTACCTCCACCAGATCACCAAAGGGAAAAGTAGACCCTGGCAAAAAGGCATCACAAGTACATCTGTCCCCACTTCCGTCTCCTGTCCCATTTCTCATACCTCTCCCACTCCACAGGTCGGCCCGCTAAGAAAAATGAAGTCGTGAATATATAAATTCAAATACCTTTAATGCGGGTAGCCTTTAAAAAAGAACTAGTGTCATACTTACCCCCCAGGCCGCCGTGGAGCCCAGCAGTGCAAGGAAACACAGAGTGCCAAACATTGTGGTGAAATGCTTCTCAGTGAGCCAGCAGAGACATTAGGACTTTATATAGCAGAAGTTTAACAATGGGCGGAATACAACACCTGTCCCTGTTCACACCAGTGTTAGCCAACACAACACAGTCAGATTTTTCATGCATAATGTTATCTTTGTCAAACAAAATTTACAGCTCAGGTTTTTGTATGAAATAGACGATGGATGTATGTTTGTAAATGATGTTTTCTGGATGAGTGTTCCCACGAACGAGTCGTTCGCAAATAATGTTGCGACATTGTACATAACACTCTCCTGAATGTGAACTTAAAATGGTTGTCAAAGTCCAACATTATATTTTTTCGGACTTTTTTGTGACATCTTATTGTGTTGGTGTAATGTCTAAAATAAATGTAAATAGTTGATAGTCTCCATGTACAGTGTGGCCCTGTGATGGACTGGTGACTAGTTGATGGTTTATGGAGTGCTCTCCTCAGTGTCTCTTTTGCATCCCTTTGAATTGATTATAGTCAAATACAAATACTGTAATTCATCACAATTAATAAAATTGCCTTTATTCATAATGTATTTATTTATAAGTAACAAATATGCAAATGTTCTTTTTTAAACATTTTATAAAGGTTTCATAATCACTTGGCAGTTTTGGTTGGGTTCTTCAAGCCCACCTCTTTTTCTTTCTTTCCCTTCTTTTTCTTGACTTTCTTGGGCTTGGCTTTAACTTCAGTCTGCTTGGCGTTGAGAGCAGGCCTCGATCGTGTTAAGTGATCAGCTGTGGGGCTGAGCTTACTGTGGCTCATCTCTGGGTCAGACCTTGTGCCCTGAGCAGAGATGGACTTTCCTGGGGCGGATCGAGGAGAGTCATCCAGCAGGTTGGGCTGAGAGTAGGACCGCATTGCTAGTGAGCTAGTTTGACCATGCTCATTGCTGAGGTTAGTGACAGAATAACGACTGCTGTTGGACATGACGATGTGGTGCCATGAGCTGAGAGGCGTGGCGGAAAACTGCCGCGGACCACTCGAGTCATCTTTTGGAGCGCCAGGAGAAATGACCATAGAGCCGTGAGGTGTTACAGCTTCTACAGCTTTCTGGAAAGTCTTGAGGATCCGGTCGCTCTTTTGCTTTTCTTTTTTCTGACGGGATTCAAACTTTCTCAGTTGCCGGCGATGATCTCTCATCATCTGTTTCCTTGTATCTGCCAATCCCCTGAGACATTGGAAAATATTTGTATTATTTTACAATATTTGTACCATGTACGTACCAAACCATAAACAGAGTCCTTTACAATATTCTTTTTACTTATCAAGATAGTAACACTAGTAATAACAGTGTACATGTCCCAGCTCATAACTAAAACACACTTTGTTATCTCAGATGTAAAATAAAGGCATTGCAAGGATATGTAAACACAAACCCTATTTACTGTGGGGACTCACCTGTAGTCAACCCTCCCTGTCCTGTCACTGTCAAGTCTCTGTATTAGCTCTTCAATCTGATATCGGTCCAGAGGAATGCTTGAATGCTACCATTGGTTGACACAACAAGGAAAGAAAAAGACAAGTTCTCCTTTGATTTGAGTTGAACAGGATTCATCATTAAGTAAGACAACATATATTAGTCATCAGACCTGCACTGCCTTTCTGAAGTCAGCAACGGGGACACGCATTGTGCCGTCTTTGTCAATGTTCCGGAAGAAATCCCAAAGACGCAGCTTGTGTGAGTCCAGATAATCCTTTAAAAAAAACACATACTGTGCTGTTTTCTCTTATGAAGAAGAACCCAGTCGAGGGTGGAACCAATCCTTTATAGCATTATGTATAAGTGTAAAATAACATATTGGAGAGAATCATTTCAGATAATGTCCCTTTTGAAGTCCGTTCATGACTGACCTGGATGACCTTCATTGGATCTACACGCTTCGGTGGCTTCTTAGCAATAAATCCGCCAACTCCACCATACTGTACATCCAGCCCAGGATGCTCCTCACATGTCGACTCCAACAGCTGCACAAAGTTCTCATTCACCAGAACATTCTGTTTGGAAAAATGGGTGAAAGTGGGGACAATGGTATTATTTAAAACTTTTGGTTCTCACAAAGGTCTCAAACTCAAACTGGCCTTAGGAGGACAAGCAAAAGAGTTGCTACTTGGCATTCATTTTGGTTCAAAGAATACAAGGACATGTGCTGCATAGTCTACATGTAGCCCTTGGGTCTGGATTCAAAACCCTGAATTAGTAAAAATCAAATCTTAGATACTTTAGAAAATAACCAGACTTTGAATGGACTGTGTTTAAATTGCCCTGCTCTTTCAATAAAACCTGGATCAAAGATGGCGTCACTCACACACATGTTTATCTCCTCCAGTGCAGTTTTAGGAGTGTTCTTCACCATCTTCACCAAAGCCAGTGCTCCCTCCACAGTTATAGAGTTGTATGCCAGCTACAGCAGGACAAAAAAGAGAGAGAATTCACTGTGTGCAGACACATTTGCTGTGTGTTTAATACATCTCTCTTAACTCACTAGTAAAACACGCAGTGTGTCATTGAATTCAAGACCTCTGCAGAGCATGGTGACCCCTTCGTTGGTGATACGGTTGTTGTTGAGGTTCAGGTACACCAGGGTGTTGTTAAATTTTAGGGACTCTCCCATGGCCAGAGCGCCCTCATTCCCAAAACCATTCCATGACAAGTCAAGGTGTTTTAACGTCGTATTCACCTAATATGGAGTTAAAGTGCAAGTAGTCAAGTTTTTCTGAATAAAACTGGTCATGAAATAGTTTTCTTGCGAAGCCATACTTTGAGTCCTGCACTCAAAGCTACCGCCCCTTTCATTCTCAACTGATTCCAGCTTAAATCCATGACCTCCAGACCCTCGTTGTTTGCTGTAAGGATAGATATTTGAATTCAATTTTCTTAATTAATTAATTTTTTTTTTTTGCTGTAAGGATAGATATTTGAATTCGATTTTCTTAATTAATACAAAATGAAATTTCTTTTTTTAAATGTTAAAATTAATTATTTGCACTTTACCTAGCATTTGTCCTATATGTTCTCCCCCTTTTCCACAAAATTCATTATGGCTCAGGTCAAGTTCTTTTATTTTGAAATTGCTCTGGAAATAAATATACATATGACTACCTGAGTATTTGAAACAAATCGAAACGTAAATCATAGACAACTTACTGAGAATGAATCTGAGAAATATTTTGCATCATCGTCAGTAAAGCCATTCCCTGGAGGAACAATGGGATGTGTTAAAGCATATTGAATAGAGATTGTCATAAATAATTCAATTCAATGCAATGTTTCTAAAGTTGTACTTAAAATGAGTTTATATTTCACTTGTACATTACCAGAAAGTTTCAAGGATTTTATTGAAATGTTGTGCAGCAACATTTTAGCCACATGCTCTGCTCCTGCAGACAGCAGACAGTTGTTGGACAAATCCTAGAAGTCAAGCAGATGTCGGTGAAGTATACAGTAGCTATTCAATCTGCCTACAAAGCTCAATACCAATGAAAGACATGCGTGCCCTCTACTGGTGGGTCGACGGATCTACCTACCAGGTGGTGTATAGTTAAATTCGCTCTCAACATTTCCACGAGGTACTTGGCTCCTTCAGCTTGAATGTGGTTGTTTGCCAGTTCCAGGGTTTTGATATTCATGTCATGCTAAACACAATTTTCATTTATTTTGTTGATCAAGTTTTAACAAAAAGGTGATAGAAAAATTATTGACACACTTTCAAAACTTACCAACAAAGCAACAGCAAGAGCCTTGCATCCCATAGGTCCCAGCCCATGATGGGTGAGTGTAAGAGTTGAAGAGTGAAGATTTCGTAAAAACATGGAGACTGGCACCACACCTGCAAGTTTACAAGCCTGTAGGTACACGTCAGCTATGGACGGCTCCCTGGAGATGTCCTCTGTTTCTGAAAGTAAATGATATAGTCTGTGGGCACAAATCCTCGGATGCCTATATATCGAGCCCGATCTTTTCTTTTACCACCATAACTTATTTTACAGCAGCTTCGCTGTCTTCCAATAACATTTGAGATAGATAGATAGATGGATGGATGGATAGATAGATGGATGGATGGATAGATAGATGGATGGATGGATAGATAGATGGATGGATGGATAGATAG